AAGCTCTCTTGTGTAACTTCTCTAGCTGAAAGCATTAACCAGGGAAGACCTTCCTCCCAGTCCCCACCTAGTTCAGTGCAATACGCTCGTAACAGGGATTTTAATGTTTGATGGAAGCGTTCTAACAACCCCTGACTCTGAGCATAATAGGCCGAGGCTTGGACATGACAGACACGAAGTTGTTTTAAAACCTGGCCGAACATATGAGAGGAGAAATTAGATCCTTGATCTGATTGAACTACCTTTGGAATGCCGAAAATCAAAATAAACTGAGAAAGTGCACGAATCACAGACCTAGTAGTTATCGTGCATAAGGGATTTGCCGCAGGATAACGGGTGCTCTGACACATCACCTTTAGTAAATAATTTGCTCCCGATTTCGATCTAGGCAAAGGACCTACACAGTCAATTATAAGATGTTCGAACGGCTGGCCCACTGCAGGAATAGGAAATACTCAACACTCTGTCATACGCTTTATTAACGCCCGAATGCCCAGACTCATTATGCGCCACTTTCAGAACCCCTCCCAAAATCTTAATGGCAGCACAACTTGAAAAACAGGGTTCCCAAGGACTTTACCTTTATGATCAACCCACTTTCTTACTAACAATGAGTTCTGGAGAAAATATCCGCTGGCACTATCCTCCATCTCAGCGTCGAGCTTCACGTGCTGAAACAGCTCAGATAAAGAGGAATCCCCCTTTTGCTCTGAGACCAACTCACTGTAAGATACAGACAAAGGAAAATCAGACTAAGGCAAGTAAATTATTTTCAAAGGCTTATTCGCACTAGACAGTGCGGTTGATTGCTCATAAATCTTTATGCTCGACATAGCACGCGTTACCGCACAAGCCGTAAAAACTTCAGGAAAATCCAGCCTGCCTTCACCCAGCTCTTGACCTTACCAAAGTTTTTCCTCCACCGCCACCGACGGTTGGATATCGGACCAAAGCTGATCACCTGCTAGTTTGTTACCAAGAATAATGGTAACTCCTTTAATCGGCAACGCTGGACACAAAGCCAGTGCGGCTTCACCCTGAAACAGATCACATTCAAGCATCACTTTATGCAATGACACATGCAAAAAATTCTGGAACACGTTCATACGTTTTTAACACCGCTGCCTTCACTTCTACATAATCCTGACTATCTTCCACAGTTAAAGACGAATACGCCTCTTGTGCTTTACCCGTCAATACAGTCTGAAGCATTAATGCTCTGGCCGCATCCGGCCATTTACACGCATCGGCAATTCATTCAAAAAGTACAAAAAAAGAATCTTTTTCGCAAAATTTCGGTACAATCCGCAAATTTCCTACGACATCAAAATCAGAAACAGTTTTTCCCGCTGCAGCACCTTCCTTGTCCGTTTCAAGTCGCTGAAGTTGCCTGCTTCCTTTTTGACAGGTAAGTCAATGTTACGGTAATTCATTATGTGTGCAGCATAACAGTAGAACATGTATAGTTAAACTTGATGAAGTGCTATTGGAAGACATGTTGTCATGGCTTCTTGGTACATAACGGCTACCGTAGTTGCAACACGCATTTGAAAAAGCGAGGCGCTAGAGAGCACTATTCGTTTGAATGCAAAATACAATTTCACCGCTAGATGGGAGAAATACATTATGCTTTGTTATAACATTATGCTTTGTTATTACAATTATGAGTTGCTACAAACGTTCGTAATACATTAAAAAACTGGACGCTTTGAATGTTTAAAAAACATTCAGAAATAAAGTTTTCAACTTAAAGGGGACATATCATGAAAATCTGACCCTGTCTCTCCATAAGGCTGCACTCCACTACTGGTTATTTCTGAGATTTTGGATGAGTGGGATTATTCGCGTGTTTTGTTATTGTATCCGAAGCTTGTGTAAAGTATGTCTGCCTGAACGGCGAGGAGCAGCAGCTCATTTGCATTTAAAGGGACACACACAAAAACGTCACGTTTTTGCTCACGCCTAAAAAGGGGCAAATTTGACAAGCTATTATAAATAATATGGGAGGGATTTTGAGCTGAAATTTCACAGACACATTCTGGGGACACCATAGATTTATATTACATCTTGTGAAAAGGGGCATAATAAGTCACATTTAAAGGTGCAATGTGTAATAATTTTGAGTATCTATTAACAGAAATGCAATATGACATCCATAACTATGTTTTCAGTGGTAAAGAACTTACTTAATAAACCGTAATGTTTTTATTACCTTAGAATGAGACATTTATATCTACATAACCGCGGGCACCCCCTTCTATGAAGGTCGACATATTGTGATGTCATGTTTCTACCGTAGCCGACAGCGAACAAACAGCGCTACAGAGCGCGTTTCGTCACTACCTTGAAAGAGAAGCAGAAGCCATAGACACCGTGAGTAGTGACTTTTCCCTTGTCAGTGGTATAAAATATGTAGTTGGATTGTTTCATGTAACTTAGTTCTTCTCCCTCGCTGTGTTATGGCTTTGCTATGTGGGGATAAATGTGCTGGTTACGTTCGTGAGACAATCAGCTGATTAGTACTCTTGTCATTGACCGTAAAACAGTATGTTACAGGAATCACCAACCCGTCGATCGCGGTCCACAAGTCAATCTTGGAAGAATTTTAAGTCGATCGCGAAGAGTTTTCAAAATCAGAGAAAAAAAGCCTATTGTGTGTAATCATGTCATCTTTGGGCTCATGCGGACGCGTCGAGTTTAAACAAGGCTTTACGCTTAAACCAGCTCAGCCACAATAACAGCTCATATTAGCCAGCTAAACTTTTACTACCCTGTTACAAAAAATATATAGTTGCATAGTTTCATGTGGTTCTTCTCCCTCGCTGTATTATGGGTTTGCTATGTGGGGAGAAATGTGCAGGTTACGTTTGTGAGACAATCAGCTGATTAATATTATTATATTATATATTAAGACCCTTGATCCTCACCTGACTATGGCTTTGTAAACTTTATCCATAATGTGGTTTATAATGGACTGTGGTACAGATACAGTGACAATGTTACACACTCTTGGCTTACTCTGGCTATTCTCTCAGACGACAATATATTTGTCCCATTTTAGCCACCGTAGCTTCTTCGAAAGGGAGGGGTGAGCAGTGGGCTGAGCCCTTAGTGCAACTCGCAACCGAACCGCTAGATGCCGCTAAAAATCACACACTGCACCTTTAATAGGAATGTTTGCAAAATATTCTAAGAACTATTTTAGCTGGGATGAAGTCAGTGTATTATTCCTGCTTGCCTGTATATTTAATATACAACTTGCACAAATTATTTCTTGGGATCTTTTTTTCTTCTATTTTCTTTAATGATCAAACAAGTAGTAACCTTTAAAAAATGTTAGATGAACGTGAACGTCCAACTAAACCATTCCAAAAAATATGTTCCATGAACCATACATAAATAAAGTTTTTGTGCTAGCGGCCTAGCATTTTAAGAATTTTTTTAAAGACTAGATAACTTTGAATGAATGTTCTATTAACGTTAGAGTCTGAGCTCTGAGAACATTCCCTGAGCTGGGAATCTGCTAAATGCGACTAAGGCATGACAATTTTAAGATATTATAAACATTATAACATCATGATTTTCTGTAAAGCTGCTTCGAAACAATGTGTTTTGTGAAAAGCACTAGGCCTATACAAAAAAAATGTACTTAAATGTTATGAGAATGTTCAAGTATAGGCCTAAAAATTACATTGTAAACACATCCCATGAACTTTGTTCTAACGTTTTCTCTCTACAATAAGAGAACATTCAGCAAACTGTACAAATTACATCATAAGGACGTTCCATGAGCTTTGTACTCACTTTATGATAACATTTTATGATAACATTAAAATTAACAAGGATGTTCAGAGAATGTTATTCTAAGAACGTTTTCTCCCTACATTACGTGAACTTAAATTAACTATTAACAACATCATAAAAACATTCCATAAACATTATTTTAAGAATGATTTGTCCTAACATTTACAAAACTTTTAAAGAGCGTTAGTGAAAGAGGCCTATGGGAACGTTCCCTGTTAGCTGGGGAAGAACAGTACTGAGTAAAATAACCCTCAGTTGTTGACTCATTCCTTAAGCTTTTGCATGAGTTGTGCAGCCTAATTTTATATTTAAAAAAATATAGTTCCAGCTTTGACGATAACCAAAGTTATTGTAAATTTTTTTAATTATTATCCAATATAACAGTTGAATCAGCACATCAGTTTCACATCAGAATTCTTTATTAATGTGGCAAGTCTCAAAGCAGCTTTTGTAAAGTTGTAAGATATGCAGTCATTTGTAGCCTACTAGGCTACTTTACGAGAGGCTTCACTACCGCTTTAACAACCAACATGTTGTCACACGACCCCCTCTATGTACTATATTTTGTATATCGTAATGTAACACAACCTTGTTTGTCTAATGATGTTTATTGCATAACTGAAGAGGCAGAATACACAGAATGATCACATTACATGATCTTGTCCACCAGAGGGAGTTGTAGGCTAAAACACAGAGTGTGCCTTTGCCAGAGGATACTCAAATTCAGAACTGCCTCCTTGTTGCTTCTAGAGGTACTACAGTCACTTCTTTAAAATTAAGTTTTCTCACTTACTGAGAAAATGCATGATTTTCATTGGAACTACATACATAGGCAGAAAGCAAAGGTTTTGTTGACTTTATGAGCGTTTGTTTTATTTATTATTTGTATTGACATATTGACATTTTTATTTTTCTTATTTGTAAAAGAATGAAAGAAACTTAAGTAGGCTATTACAAATGGTCTGACGTATGAGACAGTAGCCTACACCAAAATAATGGTGATCTGTCATGAAATGAAGAAAACCCAACATGACGTGTGTGTGCACGCGCACGCGCGCGCGTGTGTGTGTGTGTGTGAGAGAGAGAGAGAGAGAGAGAGAGAGAGAGAGAGAGAGAGAGAGAGAGAGAGAGAGAGAGAGAGAGAGAGAGAGAGCGAGCGAGAGGAAATTGGTGTTTCTTCTCCCTCGCTCTCAGGTGTTTTTAACGCTGACGAGCATCTTTCAGCGTCACTGTCCATCCATATAGCCTATCTGATAGGAAACTGAAACCAGTTAAATCCAACCTGATAGCAAATTGGAATAAATCGGAGAACTTGCTTTTGCTTCCATTCCTTCTCTGAAAAATGAGCAGCCGACGGCGACGATGCAAGCGTCAGTTGATCAAGTTTACCCAGCATATTGCTCGCTTAATCACAGGAACTCTGAACTCAGGTAACCAGTTTGTAACAATATTTTTCTGGATATAGTTAACCGCATTGCACCGAGACTATAAAGTTTGCATCGTTCTGTCGCTTTGTTGTTCTGAACTTCATTTAGCCTATATCAGCTTTTGTTCCAAAATTGTTAACATTAACTGCTAAATAATTGCTTTACCAGAGTTAAATTATTTAATAGGCCTATATTAGAAATCGGATAATAGACTACATTGAAATAAATTGAATTAATAGATTAATTATAGATCAGTAGTTCATGAATATTCTAATATGACTTACTGTGTGTGAAAATGTATAATTTAATTAACGTTTATGACTTTTCTATTTATATTTACTTTAACAAATGATCTGTTATGCATTACATAATGTACACAAATTATTTAAAAAGTAACAGACATTTTGTAAAAGATCAAAGATATAAGACATATTTTGACAGGTCTACAATGAAAATAATTTTTTGTAGAAACACTTTTGACTCGGAAATCATTAGTAAATTTCACATATGTCAAACTGAATTAAAAATGAAATCTTGTAGTAGAAAAAAGTCTCGGTTACGTATTTTACCCTCGTTCCCTGAAGGAGGGAACGGGAGACGTTACGATGTAATTGGGATTGCCTTGAGAGACCAATCTACTTCGAGTGTATTAAAACAAGCCTATGCACATTGGCATGCGATAATTGCATCAGCTGCTCTGCTTGCAGCACGAGCATATAACGAGCAGCAGGTGCGTTGCATATTTGTTTTACGCTGAGGAGCCGAGACGTGTTCAGCCGTACAGCGATGGTCATCAACCGTGGTGACGGGACGCCCAACTGATTGGGGTGGAAGACCTATGAGAGGGAGTTCAAACTGCTGTTCCATTATAACCCACACAGTGGAACTCTTGGATAACACTGGGAAAGCGTGCCTTTCTAGAGGAGAGGGATGCTGTGGAAGCCACATCCTTCCCGAAGGGAGGTAATGTGGAGAATACACTGTAACGACTGAGACAAATCAGACACAATTATTTGTTATATTTAACAAATAATCTTTAAAACTCACTCTGGGATCTATAGTCCCATCCCCCCAACAAGGGCAAGAAGGGTCTTGGCTACCATGACTACGATCAGAAGTTGGTTTTATAGCTGTTAAAAATGTGGTCACGTGAAAAAAGCAGAGGCCATAGGACAGACCCACAGCCCTTAAAACAGACTTTCCTGCATTAATTTATGGACGAACTGTTCTGTAAATGTTCGACTCGGACGGCGTAGCGGCCCAAAGTGGGTCCTGAGTGTGCGGTGCAACACTATCCTGACTCCACCGACCGGCAGGGGATGAGTGAGACATAGATATCTCTCTCAGATGCTGCCTCGAGTGCATCAGACTGACGCTGGCGAAGCAAGAGGGGGCAGAGGGTTTCAAGGCATAGCGTCGTAAAGTTCTCCGCCCGGCCCTCCTTCGGGGAAGAGCAGCTATACTAATCTGGGTCGCCCGTCTCACGGCTGCTGTGATGGGTGGTGCCATCTTCCTGCAAAAGCTCAACGTCACAGTTGAGCTGGTGTGGCGGATGGTTTTTTTTTCTTCTGCAGGGGACGGACACCCTTGGCAACGAACAGACTGAGGGGCAGCCCACCAGTGAGCACATTGGGGCAAGCTTTTGGTTACCTCAGCCTGCTTCTGAACTGCGGAGAACCGCTGGCCACAGTCTCCAACAGTATCGCCGAAAGGCCACCTCGTGAGATGGGAGCATTGAGAAAGCGAACTTTGGCAATGTCTCGCACCTCTGCAAGGTTTAGCCAGGGGGCGCTTCTGGACCACTAGGGTGGACATCATCTGGCCGAGGGCCAGCGCTGTGACTTTAAACACGGTCAGTCACCAAACGCAGCTCAACCCCGACTCAGAACTACCCTCATGCATTATGACTATTTGGCCTTCCACAATTTATTTATTTATTTTTCAGGATGGCCGTCACATGCAGGGAAGAGGCGGTCTGCAGTAGCACTGCCGCCCTACCATTGAGGGTAGTGAGAGAGGGAAAAAAAATCTGCAGCTTTTGGCATGTTTTGCTTGCCATATTGGCGCCAAAATGCTTCCATACTGCAAAAGTTCTTAACACACATCTGAGAAGGCACGGGGGCGGGGCAAGATGATTACGCGTCGCACTGCGCCCCCAGAGTAGTCTGGAAAAGCATGGCTGTCAAGTCTGAATCTGATTCAGCATGAGCACGCATACCATATAGCGGAAGCTCAGCATCATCTTCATTTCCAGAGCGTAACAGCCCTCTCTCTGATGCAGCGATCGACATCTAATCCTAGGCTGTAGCCCCGAATGAAATGTTAGGTTCATCATGAGAATGACCAGCAATCCCATCTAGAAAGCTGCCAGGCATGCGAGACAGTGAATGTGGTCATCAACTCGACGGCACACAGCATGCTGATCGTTCAAACCTTAATGAAAAAGGCAAGACGAACAACATGCTGACGTGGTCATGTTCTCATAAGAGAATATAACCAACCACAAACACAGTCTCAACATGTTTGCGATGTGATAGAGGAGTGAGGGGCCCACACGGATTGGTTATCCGGCGGGAAAGCCCTCACTATAATCCTCCGGTCACCCTGGCTATACGCAGAAGTTGCCCTTTTCTGGTGTACCAGAAGAAGAACTAGATCGGGGCATAGGCGAGGAGACTCCTCCTCGTTTGAGGCATTTGAGTTTCGACTGCGCATCTAGACCACCGAACGACACGCGCTGGGTTGCCATGACAACCTGTGCTGTCAGCAGGCAGCTTGACGGCACACGGCACACTGATCGCTTAAACCTTTATGAGAAAGGCAAGACGAACAACGTGCCGACGTGGAGAGAGAGCGTAAACCACCCACGAGCGCAGTTTCAGCACGCTTAAGCCCGGGCATGTGAAACAGTGATCGTGGCTGTCATATGAGGATAGGAAACGACCGCATCCAGAAACACACGGTTTGAATGACATCTTGAAAAAACACAGTGTCAAACCGTGTATCCTCTTTCAGGAAAAACTGCTCTCTCTGTTGTTGAAGCACCCAGTGATGACCGCGGCTACACAAACAGGACGATAGTGCAAGCCTGATGTGAGCACTCACATTCTCATTGTAGGCACAACGTTCTGAGCTGTGAAAACAGCTGTTTTTGCCGGCTCTCTGTGAGATCTTGTCTGCGCTGTAACACCAACACCAGCTTTGAAGAGGCGTTCTCCTGAAGAAGCAGATTCGTTTCCTTCTTTTGAAGTTTAACACTGTCAGAAGATTGTAGAGCAGAAACAGTACAACCGCTCGGCTCTGAAGCGAAAGACAAATATGCAACGCACCTGCTGCACGTTATATGCTCTCGCTGCAAGCAGAGCAGCTTATGCAATTATCGCATGCCAATGTCCATTGGCTCGTTTTAATACACTCAAAGTAGATTGGTGATCCCAATTACGTCGTCACGTCGACGTAACGTCGAACGTGAGCGACTGACAGGAACTGAAATTGTATTTTCTTGTAAAATTTACTCCAGTAATCTGTTTTATTTACAAATTTGAAAAAGCAAAGTTGTACACACCAGCACACACCAGTCAAACAGACCAGGGGCAGTTGTCATTTACATTTGCTGCTTTTATCCAAAGCAACATTGCACTAAATGTATAGTCTATTTTATTATTCAAACCCATGACCTTGGCAATGCTCTGTGTTTGAGCAAAACAATACATATGTTGCAGATTAATTAAATAATTGCAATTTATTTTAGGTCAATCCAATTGTTTTACTTTTTCCATTTTTCTGACAACCATAGCCTGCAATATTCTAATACAGATGTCCTTTAAAAAAAGGAAATGTAATAAAATCAGCGTGTATCAACAGCATGGTTTCATTGTGAATATACATGTATTTGTGCTTGTCCTATAACAGTGGAAATGCTCAACAGTGTTTTCTATTTACATGTAAGACTTCCAGACATGTGTTTAAACTGACTTTCAAAAATACCCCACCATAAGAAATTGCTTGCTGTACACCCCTCCTTATGCTACGTTCACACCGGACGCGAATAGCGCGTCAAATTCGCGTCTACCGCGTCTAGTTTGACGCTTGACCACTTTGTGTTAATTCGCGTGTCAATGGCGAAATTGACGCGCGTAAAAACAAAAGTTTGAAGCGAAATTTACGCGCGTCAGAGGCGAAAGTTTCGAAACCCGTCGGCGGCCATCTTTTTAGATGTTTATCGAGCATTAGCATTAGCATTATTCGAGAGAGTCACCGCTCGTATATGCTCTGGAGAGCAGAAACAGCTGCGTAGGGGACATCGTCGCTGTACTCGGGTCCACCAGACCCTCCGGAGGGTTTCAGGAGTTTCATCATTTGTTCCAGGAGCTAGGTTTGGTGGACCTAACGGTGAGGACGCTGACGAGGACACCGTAGGCCGTGTAAAGCCTCGGCCTCGAGTGGTCGCTGCCTGACGAGCCCGCGCTCTACAGCCCGGCGCGAGGTTCACCCTCGCCCGCACATTTATTTGATAATAAATGGAGCCAGCCTCCAAAAGTGAAACCTGTCCTGTGATTTTTTTATTTATTATACACTATGTGTTTGTTGTTTTTACATTAAAATAATAATGTTTCATATAATCTAAAATAGATATGGAATAAATAGCATTCAATACAAAATGAGTACTATCTCTCATATATTAAAATCGAGTTTTTATGTGAAAGATTTGCTTTGTTGTGCATTAGAACCACACCAGACATTTTAGTAATATTACAAAATAATGTATTAAAATAACAAACTTTCACTTCACCACGTGACAGCAGCAAGCAGGCTCCTGATTGGTTAACGCGGCGCGAATTGACGCAGAAGTTCAAATTTTTCAACTCGGGCGGCAGACGCGAATTCGCGTTAAACGCGTGAATGCACAAATAGCACTAACTAAATCATTCGCGCGTAACGCGCTTCCGCGCCAGACGCTTCAATTCGCGCCATTCGCGCGAACTTGACGCGCGAATGAGGCG